TAGTTGGCCATTTGTCGCGTCCGCCCATTGGCTGGCGCCTACCTGGGGGCGCTTTTAATTGAATTGTCGTTTGGCCTGAATTATAGATAAGCCCCATTGACAGAGGCAGCCCAAATAAATACAAAGCCAAATAGTCGACCGCTTTCGAGCGCGCTCCAGATTTATCTCAAGTTTGCCAACTTTTCGCCACCTAAGCGCAAACTGCTTAAAAATTAATGAGCCAGCGCCAAAAGAGGTCGCCAACGGGTGCTATCAGCTGTATACGTGTGTGTGCGTGGCTGTGTGTGTGTGTGTGGGTGTTTGTGGTGGGCGTGCCACAAAGTTTTGTTAATCTAAACACGCACTAAGCTAACGAATCGTAGAGAGGAAGCACTTTGAGAATGCTTAGAGAAGGCAATATAATTGCAAGATTTTATAATTCTATACTGAAGCATGAATTACTTTTATAAATATTAAATAAAAATTCGATTATCATATAAGAATAATATATATAGAAATTACAATAGGACTAGGTTAATTCCAAATTTATTTATTTATTTAATTGTTACAGAGAATTAATCTAAATTACAATTTAATTTAAGGCCAAGGCAAGATTTTAGGTATTCCACGGCATTTTGTTGTATTTCGTATTTTAATTTTTGCCAATGAAAATTAAATAATACAACATTCGAATTTCCACCTCGGCTACTTACGTAAAACTCGGTAATGTTGGATAATTGGAGTTAGCTTTGTATCGATCCCTGTTCAGCTGCACTGCATTGAGCCAACTTTTCTAATATTTAATGAAATTAATATTAATTTATATGGGCCTTCTTATAAGTGCTCACATAATAAAAGTCGAAAATATCATACACACTCACTCTCACTCAGACTAAAGCTCTTCGGTTCTTTTCGCATTGAGCTAAGCTATTCGCGTGTCCCAAGAGCATTACTTAGCGAGAGAGATCGCATAATGAGACTCAGACTGTTCACATTCTCACACATACTCACCCTCAATTTACGTGCGCTGTCAATGTAAATAAATACACAAAAGTCTTTTTGCTTCATTGAATTAACAAATATTTCCACATTATTTTGCTTTATACTATTTAAAACTAATTATATTCATCTTAATCATTTAATCACTCAAGATGAATTAGTTTTGATATTGAAGTATAATGAATTGAAAACCTTTCGCGAAATAGTTTTCATACAAAAATGTCTTTAATCCTTGCAACGAGTGTTTCAACTAAGTGAACCACACACTCTTCAATTAAGAAGAACTTTAACGCAACATGAGTGAAAGGCTTCACAGAGGGACGTCACGCTGAGGGGAAGAAAAATTGGGAAAATCACAAGTTTCGCACATAGCGCACAATGATCAAAGGGGAAAATCGCGAGGCATAGTAAAAACAATAACAGAGCAAAAAAGTTGATGCAACAAGACAGCCAAGAGAAAGAGAGACCACAAGCGAGAGCGAGAGAGAGAGAAGGAAAGAGTGAGAGAGGCATGAGTTTTGTGTTTCGGGCGCGGCTGACAAAGTAATTGCAACACGCGAATGAATGCGAAAATTCAATTATTTTCGGTCATTATTATTTTTGCAACGTCCAAACGACTCGAGTGCGTTTCCCAGCACTGTCGCCCGCCCACGCACTTTATGCAAAGCGAACAGAAAAAAAAGCAAAAAAAACTTTCAGCCACGTGCAATCAATTGGGTGCGCAGTTTGGGCCATAGCAGTCCTTGGTGAGCCCCACTTCCCCTCCCCCCCCCCCCCTCGACTGCTTTTGCAACCCTGTCATTTAGACTGGCTCGTCCATTGTCTGGCCAACTGGGGCGACGTGGCCGACAAAGTGTTGCAAAACGTTTCAGTTGTTGCTGGCGCTGCACCTCTTTGGAAACTTTGCCTCACAAAAGGCAACTGCAAAAATTAAGTTAACTTTTTCGAGTAACGGGAATTGAGTAATTTTCAGCTGTAAAACTTTATTATTTTGGGTCTCATTGTTATTGTTACTGTTGCTGTTGTTGTTGTTGTTGTTGTTGCTGGCACTCTTGCACCAATTGTAGTACATGCCAACTTGTTGTTATTGTTTAAATGTTAATTTTCCTGTAGCTGTAAATGTTGTCCGTTTGGACGAAGGTAATGGTTCGCCCGCTCGCTGCTCGCTGCCTGCCGGCCTCCCCACCCCACCCTTCAAAAACTTGTGCACGCCTCAAAAGTAGGCAAAACATGCAAATTGCATTGTGCAAGCGAGGGGAGGGACAAAGGACCGCCTCCTGCGCTGCTTATGCCAAGCAATGAACTAAAGCGTCGCCTAATTGCATTAATGAAGTGCAAGCAGCCGGCCAAAGTTTGCCAACTTGCCTAAAGCCCAATAAGATGGGCTCGATCTAAATTATAAGCAGTACTAAAATATAAATAATCTTAACTAAGAAGGTGCTTAACATTTCAAGTAAATGTTTTAAACTAATACTTGATTCTAATCAGGGAACGACTATTAATATATTATTGACTATCATAAAACAAATTTTTTTGGTGTATATTATTGTATATAAAAATTATTAAAAGAAAACAAATATATTGTTTGAAATCAAGAATCACACTGACTTGAGTTAATGTTGAGTTAGCTAATTATAGCTACTAGCTCTATGCTCATGAGCAACCAAAAATCGTCTACATAATGTTCTCCCTCCAAGCTAAGCACTTCGGTTCTATTGAGCGAAGCGAGGGCTATTCGTGTGCCGATCTTCACACAAGTATCGTTGAAGGAGAGGTACGAATGAAACTCAGTTGGTGGGCAAATAGGGAATTAAACACACACATACATACGCATACATACACAAAAGACTATTTGCTTTATTTAACTCAGCTGAAGGGTTGGAGAAAAAGCAGAGCGGAAAAGAGGGCTCTACCCGATCGCAAACAGAGTCGTTGGAGGGCCGAAGCTATAATTTGCTCTCAGAGTTATTAATCAGAGGTATCCAGAAACGACTAATGCTCTTCACAGATCATACAAGTAACGCCTAGAATATTAAACTGAGATATCTTGAAAAGTCTGAAAGCTGTGGGAGCATATGTAATAATGTAATGTATTAATATAGAAACTGCTTAAGTGAACCTAGATTTTTAGTCCTCTGGTTTTCGATTAGGTTCTTACTGCAAGCTTATATTTACAGAGGAAAACTAAAATTTTAATAATTAATACAAATAAACATGCCTAACTATTTATTTACTTAAACAAAATTTGTTTACATATTTTATTTAATTATTTTTTTATTTGACCCGAATTCCTACACTAAGTTTTAATTATTTACTACATTTATTTATTTATTATATTTAATTCCAGTCTATTGAGATCTATAAATTTAATATACAATATATAAAAGTTAGTCAAATCGCATTGTTTAACACTGAAAACTTAAGCAAAAAATAACTTGCATCAGTAACATATAAAACGTATAAAAGTCTTTAGATTTAAAGCCCTTCAATTATAATTTTTGTATTAGTTTTCCCTGTCTGTGCTAATTTTCGCCCCCTTTAAGCATTCTCAGTATTCGGCTGTCCAATCCATGCCAGCGCTGCCCTGGCTGTGCATAAGCATCTCATGCCAGGCTAAAAATGCAAAACTCATTTCATTTAGCGCCTAGCGCTTAAATCAAATTAAGAATCGCACCAATGGCCAGCCGCTGACCCTGGGGCCATACCCCCAACGGAGCTGCCACCTGAGCAGAGCACAGCCGAGCAGAGCAGAGCTGAGCTGAGCTGAGCTGAGCTGGGGGTAAAATGCTGGCACACGGCTCAGTGGCTGCAAATCAAAATAAAATGTGAATCTCTTTGAGCGCCTGGGCGAGGCTTTTTGGGCGCACTGAAATCAGTTTTAGCTGTCAAATAAATTACATTTCTTTTTAGCGGCGGGCTGGGTTGTCAGCTGCCTGCAAAAATATTCCGACAGTGGCTACAAAATGGCGCTGAACGCATAATTTAACAGCCCATCCCTGACAACACACACACACACAGACACAGAGGCAGCCCTGGTGGCGAGCATTCACTTGGTTTAATTGATTTTACAGTTAGTCGCTGGGGCTGGGGGCTGTGGAGTTTTGAGTTATAAATTTGGCAAGTGTCGATGGGCGCTTCGATTTGTTTGTGTTTGGGTCTGCTGGGAGTTGTGAGATGGGAATTGGGAAATGGGAGTTGGGAGCTGGGTGATGGCAACCCCGCCGTACACTCATTTGCACTTAACACTTTTGGCCATTTTGTTTGCCGAGCCGCCATTGTTGCCCTGGTAAATAAAGTGCTCAAGTTTGTTGGGTGAGTGTCTGCTGCGCTCTCTCTCACTCTGCCACTCTCTCTCTCTCTATCTCTCTTTACTCGCACTGCCATCTCTTTTTGTGGCCCGGGGCAATGATGAGGAAAATTGCAAAATTCGGATTCGCCTTTCGATAATTAAATATGCGCAGCGAGTGTTTGGCGGGCTGAGCACATGTGTCTAATTGGATTGTCGCAGTGTTGGCTAACGCCGTCAGATCATACCAGCAGCGCCAGCCCTCAACATGTGACCCACAAAGGTTGCACACGAAAATTGCGTTGCGCTACGCTTCAGCCGACAAAAGTTTTTAATGAAGTTTCGGCGTTCTTAAAAACTTTCCGCTCGACGACATGTTGCTCTTTCTCTCTCTCTCACACACTCTCTCTCTCTATTTATTTTGATTTCTCTGCGCACTGGCTAAGCGGCTCATTTTGTTGGTGATACGCTTTTAATTAGTGGCGAATGGCGTTGCCAGCAAAGTTTTCGTCTCAGTCGATGCGTTGCCGTACCGTTGTGTTTATAGCGGGCTTAGCCAAAGTACAGTTGTGCACGAGTTGGCTTAGCAACTGTGGCTTGAGTGGTCGGCAAATAGCAAACGACTCTCTCAAGCAACTCCGGAAGTTAATAAAGAAAGCAATTACAAAACTTGGTAGTTAAACATAATAATTAAGCTTCCACTTACTTATCCCCTTCTCTGTCTCTCTCTTTGCAGGTGCGCCCACAGTTGTTGCCCTGAATGCCACGCCTGTCGCCTATCCGGGCTCCCCTCTGCACTTGAATGTGGAGTTCTGCGCCAATCCGCCGGCGCATGCGGCACGCTGGCTGCACGGCGATCGCGTCTTTACGCCGGGCAATCAGTACGGCAGCACCGTGCTCGCCTACTCGGTCAAGGTAGGTCACTCGATGAGCCCTGTGGGAATGAGTGTAAGAGCTTTCTATTGCTTTGCTTTCAGGATCTGCCTACGCCCTACTGCAAGGAGGCGCGCCTGACCTATGTCAGCATGCATGAGCGTGTGCCGCGCACGTTCTACTTCATTGTCTCGTCGCCAGGTGGCGTCGCCGAGGCCGTCTTCAATGTGAACTTTACGAAGCGCCACCGCCAGATGTCGAACGCCATCGACGATGACGAGGAGGAGGAGCTCAATCGGCCAGAGCAAATCCATTTTCCGGTTTTCAGCAATAACACGGCGAGCGGGCGGACGGTGGCCTCCATGGACCTCCAGCTGGCCCTGGCGCTAACTCTATTCGGTGCCACGCTCCTGCAGGCCCATTAATTTTTAAGAGAGTGAAAGAGACAAACACAAAGTGCGAACGAGAGAAGCGAGTGTGCGAGTGTGTGTGAATGAAAGAGAGAATGTCGACTATAAACGCATGCAATTTATTATGCTATGTACTACGTACTACCCCTCTATGTCTAAGCCCTTATATGCATACATATATACATACATATATCTACTATATAAACATATGTACTACTATATGCTATTGCCCAGAACTACTACCACTACTAATACTATTCTAAAGCTATGTGTATGTGTATTTGTAACCAATTAGCAAAAGCATCAAAATGAAATTATGCCACTTGAACCCTGTCCCACACCCTCACCCTCCTACCACACCCCTCCCATCCACAAACACATTTTTGTGGGCTTCTAAGTTGGCAATTTCAACTTTTTACCTATGCATTAGCCACAGCTCCCCACACAAACGAATGAAAGCTAATACTTGATATTTTTACTGTAGCTGTAAGTAACTGTAACTGTAACTATAACTGTAACTCTAACTGTAACTGTGTGTGTACGTGTGTAGTACTTAGTAGCAGCGCTTAACTTGAATGCCAAAACAGAAAAGAAAACAAACAAAACTAAAGTATATTTAAATATTTCAAACATGAAACGAAATCATTTTTGGTTTACCTCTATTGTTGAAAGTTGAGCCATGCATACCATAATTATTGTACTTTAAGTTCCTTTTCGAGAAAACAAGCGAGAAACTTGCAAAGTGACTGATTTTTGTTAAATATTTTGAGGCAATTAGTGTTTAGAGTGTAAAGCAGTTAGAGAGTGCTTGAAAAACAAATAATTAATAAAAAAAAAAGATTTAAATACTATACTTTAATGTAAATGAAAAGCAAGTAACTTACCAGGCACGAACAAATTCCTTCCATTTGAATTTTTGCGCATTCGAATAGGCAAAAAAATAAGTATAAACACGCTGTAAGATATTTTCAAAAGTTAAAAGATCAAAATTTATATATATACATGTATATCAATTAAACAATTTGATCTGCTAATTTTTTAAGTTAAATAAATGCGTTTATATAGGTAATATTTAAATTGTACAACTAACAAATATTTTACAAATTTAAAATTACATTTAATGCTCTATTGAATATACATTTTGCATTTGCATTTATTTCTGGTTCAGTAAATTATTTGTACATTCATTTATTTGCCTGCATTATTACTTTACATAATTTACAAGGACCAAACAACTCTTGAAATTTCATTAAAATTCATATTTTTAAAATATATTTAAGAATTTAACATATATTAATGGTAAATTAGCTCCAAAATAGAAAAACATAAAAGAAACCCTCCACTCAAAATATACCAAGATGTAAATAAATGTTTAAGCAAAAAATTGCTCAAAAAGAAAAAGGAAAGTAATAATTATAATGATTAAAAAATTAATTCAAATGAATAAAAAAAAAAAAAAAAAAACCAGAACAATATTATATATGTAGAAGATGTTAAATGTTGTTTGAAAATGGGCGTCTGTAGAGGCAAGTTGGATGGTCCATAACTAAGTAAAAATGAATATTAACTAACAAATATTATATAGCAAGACGAAAACTTTGCGCTATTGTAAAATAAATATTTTCAAGACCCCGGATTAGAGCTGGCAAAAACTTTTTTGCGCGCTGATTTTCACTTTTTGTGTATAAAGCCAAAGCTTTTGTAAATTATTTCATAGAACATCTTAGCTATATAGTATATGCATAAATACATATATTATATTGTGTGCGCCATATTAAATACTAGTACGTTTTAAGAGATCAATGTAAAAATGAACAAGAATTACTTAGAAGAACCTAACGCCAATTTAAGCAAACAAACAAATCCCAAGCGCTAAAATTTACGCCGAGTTCCAAGAATTCCGCGAGAAGCGAAATATAAGTTGAAAGCGTTTGAAGCATTGTATAAATATAAATTATAATTTAATTAGAGACATGCCAATCAAAGCATAGTTGGATATACAAATATACTTGTGTATGGATAGCCTAACTGTATGTGTGCCATGTAAAATTGAGTTAAGAGTTTTTTGGTTTTTATAAGCGAAAATTGCGAATTGTATTAACAAAGCAAAAACAAACACGTCGTCATGTTAACTAACAAAATTAATTATTAACAAATGCAAATTATGGTATTATATACATATACATATACATATACATATACATATATATATGAGTATGGGTATATATGTAAATTTAAAAGAGTGGTCAAATGCATATTGTATTTATTATATGATTAATTATTATGATAATATTTACAAAATATTATTTATTAATGAAAAGAAAGCAAACACACATATAATACCATAATACCTAGTATTTAAGCGAAACAAAAATTATGTGGCAAATTAATTTTTAAATATTACAGAATATACAAAAAAATATATATATATAAAGTAAAACCCAAACGCAGTTCGTTTGTAGTGCAAAGAAAATGTGTTGAAAAAAAAAAATAAAATAAATAAAATAAAAATAATTGAAAACAAAAAAACAAAACAAGAAAACGAAAAGAAAGTATGCATACAAAAATACAAAAATACGAAATACAATAAGCAAAGGTTTAAGTCATAGGCCCAAGATAAAAGTAAACAACCACCAATACAAATTTTTAGCAGTACGATACGAATACTAAAGAAATACTGGGGAAGGAGAGCAAACAAAATACGAAATCAAAAGGCGCACCAACTGAATTATATATATACATAGATATATAATAATACATGAATGCTCAGACCCTGGCGGGGGAATCAATTGCATCGCAATGTTTCCACCGTAGGGCCCAGAAATAACTGTTATTTAAGCCAGACGAGATTGCAATAGGATGAAGGAGATCGCAAAATTTACAAGTTTAAGACACAAAGCAACAGACAAAATAGCCAATTTAGCATAAAATACAAATAAAAGTAAAGATACGAAAATAAAAAAGTGAAAATAAATAATAAATAAGAGGCGAAGCAAAACCAAAACAAGCGAACAACAAGATGAAAACACAAAACATGAACATGAAATAAAATTTAAAAATAAAAATGCAAAATAAAAAATAATTGAATTTTGTGTGTGGCTTATTTATGCAAGAGGGAGAAACTTTGGATAAGCGAATGAGACTGAATGATGCTCTTGACCAGGCTGGGATTTGCCATTGGAGTTATTAGTATTTTAAACAGTTCTTCAAGGCAGCCTTGGGTTAATGTCAAGTTCAGCGTGAATAAGAATCAAGTTAAGTGTAATTATATTAAGTTGATTTCTTAAGTCAGCTTACTCAGTTTCTGCCTAGCTTAAAAGTGAATTTAATCGCAATGAAAATCAGTCTGTCTTGCGAAATTGACAACCGTTTTTATGTAAGAAACGTGTTGCCGGACGGGCGGTCGACTTATGGATGCTCTATAACGTACATGAGAGGGTTGAAAATAAGAAAAATTAAAATCTTATCGAGCTTAGCAGTTAGTGCCAATGAAGAGAGTGATTAGTGCTTGAGGGACTCAACTGAGTTTTTGATTATTTGCTGAAGAACTCCAACTCATTGAAGAAAAGAGATAGGGATATTGATAGAGATTACTTATTTTAATATCTAATATTTATAATAGTAAGAATTAATAACAACTATCACAATCACTTCTTTGATTATCGAGTAAATTGTGTCATAGTTATCTGCCCTTGGCCAATAGCAAGTTGATCATCAATTCAGCTGGACCTCTGCGAATAGAGTAGGCATAACAATTGGCAATGTACGTGCAACCTGAAATGGTAATGAGATTCGGCAAAGATTGCAATTGCGCTTGCAGCGTGCAGCATGCTGCAGCATTCAGTTGCATCAATATCAATCAAAAGGCTGCGCAACGGCGCGGCGATGCGGCCAAACGAAAGGGAAAGGCCACTGCGGCGGGCTCGTTGGGTGGGGCATGCGGCAAAGGGGACGTACGACGGGGCGCTTCGAGGACGCTTTGGGGCAGCGCGACATATTCCGGTTTGCAATTCGTGCATTGGCCCAATGCGTTGTCAACATGGACTGTGTATGAGTGTGTGTGTGAGTGTGCGAGTGTGTGTGTGTGTGTTGGTTGTGCCTCTGCGTCTGGCTGCGTTGTTGTGGTCGGGTTTATTACTTGGAAATCAAAAGTACATCGACTCCGCAGGACAGAGCATGGTCAATAGCGATACCATTGGCATTATGGCCATGTGGCACTGACAGCGGCTGCTACAGTTTTTGGCCTAAAGAGTCGGCCGGCCAACCTGTTTGCTGACAACATCAACACTCGACGGTGGCAATGATAACGACGCTAAGCCAAGCAGGCTGGCAGGCGGGCGGGCGGTCGGGCAGGTAGTTAGCCGGTTTGCCACTTTGCGGCGCTAATGACGACCAAATAGCCCAGGCGCAAGATTACACGAGTCGCTGTGGCGGGGGCGTACCGTACCGCCTCCGCCGGCTTCCAGTTTATCAACTTTGCCTGGCAATGACCAATTGAAATTCCTTGCCGGAGTGGAATAAACTCGTAATGGCCCAGGCGATACATATCTGGCCAAGTCGACGCACGCGCCAAACAGCGAAAGGTGCACTATTACCTGCCGAGCAGATGAGAGGAGCTGCTCCCAAGGTGGGGCCAAGGGGCGGAGAGGCTGCCTCGAGCACTCCTCACAAACATCCGCGATTGCCAATTGGCATTGCTGTGCACATTTCTTTTTAATTGTTGTCGTGGCCAAAGCCGGCCACGAACTGGCTGCCCAGTTGCCAATTGGCGCCGCTGCAGCGCACATTCATTTGCCTAAGCGCAGCGCCCCACTAGAGGAACCAACACTTGGCCAGCAGCAAAACTGCATAAGCAACAATTATGTATATCCACAGCGCCATAAAATGGCAGAGTTTATGGCGCGGTAAGGCTTAAAGTGAATCAGCCGATTGATTTATACAGCCATCTGTGGATCCATTCGCAAATAGCAAATAGCTTTTTGCTTTTTGGGCGTGGCTGTGGCAGCGCCAAAGCAGCCAGCCTGCCTTCGTTTGTGGTATTTGATTTTGATGAAGTTACCGCAATTAGTTTGTCTTACGGCCCATCTTGGGTAGTATGGGAAGTGGCGATCGGCATTTCTCATAGATGTATAAATAAGTAAATTTGTGTATTGCTTATTTGTGTGTGGCTGCCTAATGGGAAATTGTTTATTATGTTTGGGTTAATGACAGGGAAAAGAAAACTGATTTGTGTGTGAGAGAACAAATTTTAAGCTGAATATTCAAATAAATTTTTATAATAAATTTTTAAAATACAGTGTACATTCTATAGATAAAATAAATGTAAATTATTTCGTTTTTTGGCCAAGGAAACATCCATTAAAATATTTTATACAGCATAAAATAAATGAAAATAAATTATTTCGCTTTCTGGCGAAATTAAGATCCATTGAAATACAACAATAATATTTAAAATAATTAAATTTATATTAAGCAAAAGAAAGGATTATCTTTATACTTATTTTCATATACATATCTACATGCTTATATCGCATTTTCTGCGCTTGATTGAAGCAATTAATTTATAGAATCATTTATACTTAATTACATTCACCGTTGCACTCGCTGTCGCCTCGGGGCAGTTTATGCAATTTCTCGGTTTCGAGCACTTTTCATTATCCGCGCTTTTATGCCTGCAAATTTATGAACTTGGGCGCGACTTTAAGCGCGCTTGAAACGCTGACAATTAATTCAGTACTCGCCCGATGATGCTGATGCTGCTGGTGCTGCTGCTTCTTCTTCTTCTTCTTTGTCATCTGCTCATTGGCGCACGCACAAATAATTTTTTATACACTTTTATGAAATTTCACAGTTCAATTAATGCATTTTAATTTTAACTTTATTTTCCAATTTACTTCACACAGTTAAACGAGCGACGCGGCAAAATCGCCGACAACGGGCCAATAAAATATATGTAAAAATCAGAAAAGAAATGAAGGATAAAAAAAACACCAAATATATTGTACAAAAAAGGAAAAACAAAAATCACAAAAAAAAAAAAGGCAACGTTCGACTGCTGGACGACTGGAAAACATGAAATACGAATACAAAAATTGTTAACGCAAAATTAAAAATGGTTTTTGATTGATTGTTGCATAAAATTGGCTTTTGGTTCAAGTCCGGCCACCGTCGATGCCTTCGCATTCATTGTAATTACCTTTTGGCTCATTTTATTTGCCCTGCGCACTTAATTAGCTCGCCAAAACGGGCTGGGCAGGGCGGGGCGTGGCAAGCTGTATTGGTTGGCTGGCCATAACGCTTCGATGCGCTTTTTGGAAATACAATGAGTAAATACCAGAAATAAAATAAAATAAATTGCTTTTAATAGATTTTCCGGAGCTTTCCCAGGGCTTTTACATTAATAAGCTGCGGCGGAGGCATTCCAATAATTTCCTTTGCAATTTTCACCGACTCGGTTTTCGGTTTCCCAGCGACAAGTTTGACCATGCGGAAGGAAGTTGATTGTCAGCCAACAACAACAACAACAACAACAGCAGCAGCAGCTGCTGAATAGTTGAATTTAGTTACAATTTGGCCAAATGCTGAGACTGCACAAATTAGCCATCAATAGCCAAGCTGGCCAAGCGATGCAGTCTGCGAGGGAAGCGGAGCGAGGCGTGGCCCGTGCAATTTATGAGCAGTGCTGCCAGTTTAGCCCGTTTCAGGCTAGATCTAGCTTGTTGATAATGAATCCATTGAAAATAAGCATGGGATGGCCAGAAATTGAGGCAGACTATACCGTAGTCCTAGTTTTCAAGAAAATAGAAAAGTCGATGACATCTAATCATTATAAATATATATGTAACAGTATGTACAGTAAGCTGATCAAAATGGGCTTCTGTATATGTATGTGTGTATGTCTGTCTGTATATCTATCTATCTATTTATCTGCCTCTCTATCTGTATCCACAGTCTATCTCTTCGCAAGCAAAGGGCGAAGCAGAACATCAGGAGATCATTTAAGATATTTATATGTATGCAGTATTATGCGTTTGGTATTTTTATTTACGTAAAACGAAGCTAGAATTCTTGCATCAGCAGAGAGTGTTCTCATTGGACACTTGAAGGTCAACTGTAACGAGCTCTACCTGTCGTCAACATTTGAGAGCGACATAGGCTTTGAGTATGGGTCGCCCTTTATAAAGGGCAGCAGCTGTAGCATTTATTCAGTCGTTCGGGCGTGGTGAGGGTCAGTCGTACAGTGGAATAAAGTGAACCAGAGTGTGTGATCGTACAGCTAAGCTAAGGAATAGAGGATATACTTTGAAGAGGAAATACTTGGAGGGAATACTTAGAGGAAATACTTCGAGAAGGAAATTCATAGAAGAAAATACTTTTAATACTTAGACAAATTACCAACCTTTTTTCAGTTTTTCCAGCTATAATGTGAAATTGTATGTCAAATTATTATATATGATCTTTTATATTATATTTATGAAGCTTAAAAAAAAAGCCACAGCAAATAGTTTGTTAAATAAATTTGCCATATTATCTTTCACTTTTCATCAAGCCCACTATCCAGCAGTTTTTCCTGCATTTTCGGCTCTGTTAGCCCACTCAACAACTGGCAGCACTACTTATAAAACGCATTTCCTTTGAAAAAAAATCATATGAATCGCTTGGCATGCGACGTGTTCGCCTGGCTTAGTTACATAATCTCAGCATCCCCAGCCCCCCCGCTCTTTAATCATAATTGTCCAGCGCACACACACACCCGCACACTCTTAAGCTGGCTACGCATTCGGCAGTGCGGAAGACGCAGAGAGGAAACGCCAGCCTAAATGACACCAAGCCTCAGTCTCAGCCTCAGCTTCAGCTTCAGCGACTCGGTGAAAGCCGAAATTGCCAGCAAATAATAATTGCTCATGGGGCGTGTGCTCATGCGGCATGCAACATTCTCAGCGCACACGCGCTTGAGCTGACACTAATGAGATGCATTAGATAAGTAGGCTCCATTAAGATCAGAAAGTCAAGCAGCTTACGTTTTTCGCCTGTGATGACTGCTGAGACAAAGACAAAGCGTTTCCCATGTCACATGACATTAAAAACTATTTAAAAAGTTTTTCATTTCATTTTCATTTACATGACTAACTTTAACATGTTTAGCTATAAAGTAATAATCGTAAAATGTCTGTCTTTACTTTGCTTATCCCCAAGTCAGTTCGCCTGTGGATATACAAATATCTCAGAGCACTCGTCAGCTGTGCAATAAATGAAATGAATTACCGCAAACGCATGAATAAAAGAAAAATCAGGCGAATTTTCATAAATCAATTGAGCTACGCATATAACGGTAGTCCGGCGACGTTGAAATGGCATTCAACCATGCTGTTGCCTGGCACATGAATCAATCAGCTCCAGACGTCTAATGCCTGACAATAAAAGCAACAAAATCTGTCGAATGCGGCTCATTAAAATCTAATGGAAATTGTAAGGCGAATCATGATGAACGAAAGAAAAAAAGGCAAAACAATGCGAGCAGAAAAACTGCAGGTGATCAAAGCCGAACAACAGCAACAACAATGGTCATAAATGCCACAACAGGTGTAATAACTATATGTGAGATAATAGCTTAGACGACAGCAGCAGGCAGCAGAAGAAGCAGAAGAGCAGCTTCAGTCAACAGTAGCCAAGGGCGGGTAGCGGAGGCCTGGCAAATGGCAATGACAAGGGCTTTCACTAGCGACTGAGTTTTCTTTATGCTAAATGTTGCTGCTGTTGTTGTCGTGGCTGCTGGTGCTGCTGCTGGTGCTGCTGCTGCTGTTGTTATTGTTGTGTTTTCCACACAATTGGCCAAAGCGACGGCCAGGCCGAAAAAAAACCTGTTGCACAGTTTTCCCGCATATGCTTTTTGGCAGGGTCAATGCTGCCGTAGAAAGCAATAAAAAAATGTCATTGCCGAGGCGGCAGCAGCAGTGAGAGCGAGACGGGCAGACAGAGAGGGAGAGGGCGCTAGGCAGCGAGAGCTGCGCTTGCGCAATCGCTGGCTGGACAAGTTTTGTGCTACACTTTAAGGATCGACAACAGCATCCACTGCCGCAACAACAAGCCAAACTTCAGCAGCAACTGCAACAACAAACAGCAACAAACAGCAACCGCATCGACATCGACTTCAAGTTCGAGTTCGACTCCGATCGAAAAGAAAACGAAATGCGCGTTCCACTGCGGTTTCACTTTCATTCGCAACGCGCACGCGCAGCTGACAGGGTCGCCAGCATCGAGTGCTCCCCCAAGCAAGGCCTTAGCCACAAGTGGAGACAGTAACGAAGAGCTGAAACGAACGCTAGTTAATCGCAGTTGAATTGAAACTATTTGTGCTCTGCATTGAATGAATATAAATAATATATAATAAATAATATAAATCGATTGAAGCAACTGAAACTCAAGTTTCTCTTAAAGCTGTCTTGACTGTGCCCCACAAAGTGTTGAAGAGTGAGACTTAATTGTGTTATAAGCCTTATTAATAATTAAGTGTATTCGTTCCGCTGTGTCACCCACGCCCCGTCCCGCCCCGCTCCGGCAACCGCTCGCCCGTAATATTTAATGGATGCAGGTAAATTAATAATCAAATGATGCATTTTAAATGCACATTAAGCGTGGGAAAATTATATGATTTCCATTATAAATAAATTACTGGCCAAAACTGTTAAAGCGAAAGGGATTGCGCATTATTATTATACAATTAGTTTTTTGACTTTTAATTTTGCTAAACATAAATAAATGCTATTAATTGAAAAAATATAAATAAATATAAATAGAGCTGCGATTGAATATTGACTGAAATAATTCACATAAATGGGTTCAATTCATACATTTTTAATGAAGTCCAGAAATGATTGTTCAGTTATTTTATTTTTTTAGTGAGCCTGTTAAAAATTATACAAATTGATTTGAAAAATCAGTTTCCATCATTATTAAGAATATTTTTTATAATTGGTTCATATTTTTGCGCATTTTTGATAAAAGACAATAAAAAAATAAATAAAATAAGGATTTATTTATATTTAAAATAATATTAAATTTAATAAAAATATCTTGAATTACTAATAGCTGTAAAAAAAAAGGAAAAAAAAAAACATTTCAGTAAATCCTATATAAACACTATAAATACAATAAATACCTGAATATAAATACCTAAATACAATTAAAGCATTGCAATGCATTGTTTGAAATGCGTATATTTTATTTTATTTATTTTTCTTTGTTTAAAATCTATTATATTTTCAATGGCTATTAAATTTCATTGAAAAAGACGAAAATGTATATAAGCCCGAAGCATTTCCTTTAGCCCTAAACTTCGCATGATAATCTTGTTTTTCCTTTCTAAACTAAATTATGTAATACAAACGTTTTATAAGCAATTTCCTTAGCTATACTTTTAAACGATTGCAATTAAGTGAAAGGCTTTTCCAAGCTTATCTATACATTTTTTCTTAAATTTAAGCATTGATTGGAAATCAATTTAGTACGTGTCCTGCAATTGTCAATTGAAACGGTTTCATTTCGCGGCATCATTCGAAAGTTGACCAAATTAGCTTATCAATTGGCAAAAAACTAATCTAGAGTAGAAATTTGATTTTTTTTTTAAGTTCGCTTAGGCACCGCACCTGTTTTCACAAAATTAACTTGATTGATTTGTTGTTGTTGTTGTTGTTGCAATTTGGCCAACATGTTGTGCGGCTAAGTGCACTGTAAGTGCTTCGGGCCAAAACATGAATGCGGCAAGTGAAATATGTTTTGGCATGCATATTTAATGCCTATCAAAACTGAACAGCAACAGTCGGAGGAGCAGGCGGAGCAGGAGCAGTGCCACTAACTATGTGAAAACCCGTTCCGGACCATTTTAAACGCCATCAATTTCAATTTTCCAAATTAAATGTGCGTCGACATAGAGTCGGCGGCTTCTCGCCCAGCGGCTGCGAATGGTAAATAATTCATTACGTTGCGGCGACTGCAATGACATAAGCCCACAGCGAATGCCGCTAAGTTCAACAACTCGCAATGAAAGCGATATGCGACAATGAACGAATCTTTAGGGAAAATTCGCACAGCGAAAGAGAAAGAAAAACGCCAAAATGCCAAAGCGTCACAGTGGAGTGGAGCCACTTAGGAAAAATCATCATCGAAACATATCGCGAATATCAAACAGACCCGCCACCAGAGGAAGCGTGCGGCTCCTCTTCGACTTCGTCTTCGATTTCGACTTTGACTTTGACTTTGGTTTTTGTTTCAGCATTTATTTTTTTTTTTTTTTTTTTGGAGCCCAACTGGCTTGACGGCTTGCCTGCCATTGGCAAAAAGCTGTAAAGTGTTTTGAGGAATTCATAGTTTTTGTTTGGGGTTATTCACACCGAAACTTAATGCTCTTTTGGCCATTTCCGCACAGCGCCGCTGACATGTGGCCCAAACTTCAACTGCTAGCAGCGACGGCCGCTGTCATTGGCATCTGTCTGCTGGCCACGGCCAGGGTAGCCCACGCAGCCGACTCCACTGGCAGCACCACCTCCCTGCCGCTGCCTCTGCAGCCGCCGGCAGCGCCACAGAATGCGACAACGCCAACGAGCAAAGACAACAGCGACAACTCCGATGACGCTTTGACTGACACTCTGGAGGCGGTGGTGAGTCCAAGTTTGCTGAGAGATTTTGACAGGTAATGAGAGTCACTTTTGACAGCTTAATAAGCAGGCCGGAGCTGGAGCCAGCGCGCTGGAGGTCATCCATGATCCGCCCCAGCCCAGAGAAGTGCTTAGGGAAACGGAGCTGAAATCAATCGAAGAGACAACGCAACAACAATTTGTGGGGTGAGTTGAGAGTTATTTAAAGGAATCTGCATAGAGAGTCGAAGAGAGCAGGAGTTGGCAAGTGATTGTGGAAAATAGAGTCTACTATGGTATTTATAAATAAAATATGAATATATACTATTGTTTCTACTCTATTATTTAATAGTTGATCAAATAAAATTAATCATTTGACTTCCTCTTCACTCTCACTTCCTTCCACATCGCAGCGTGCCTGGCTTTCTGCCCACCGTGATACCCAATCAGGAGGAGAGCAGCAGCGTGGACACGCCCACAAATGGGCATGGCTACATACAGTTCGATCTGAGTGAAGAGCAGCCCAGGCCAATTGTGAGTGGCGAGAGAAAGGCCAAGTCGAAGAAGGAGACGGTGAACGAGGTGCTCTTGAATCTGTTCCCCAACGGCTTCTCCGACATCTTTCGCTACAGCGGCAGTGAGCCCAACACAGAGACAGTCACCGAGGAGCCAAGCACAACCACGACAACCACAACTACTGCAAGCAGCGCTGTGGTGCATGCCACCACGGCCTTGGAGTCGAGTGCCCCCACAGAGGCCACGACGCTGCTGCCGCCCAGGAATGAGACCTATTACAGCTACCAGACGACGGTGACGAGGGAGTACCGGCGCGAGCTGCGCCCGGGGCACACACAAATCGTGGTGGAGAAGATCAGCAGTGCTGAGCGGGAGCCGTTCAGGGACGGCAGCAATCACATCACTCGGGATGAGCTGCTGCGCATCAATCGCGCCGCAGTCGCATCTCCAGTGCTGCCCAGCATGCTGCTGCGTCCCGAGGCCGAGGGTGAGGACAATGAGACTCTCGTCGCCGCCGAGAGTGCACCCATTGTCATACTCGGCGAGCAGGAGCCCGAATTCGAGGACGGTCAGGGCATTGAGGACAATCAGATTGCCGAGACGCGTCACACGGATCAGCAGCACTACGAGCGTCGTCTGCCGGCTCCTGCTCGCAGCGCTGACACCAGTGAGAGCTACAACAGCCAGAGTGGCCCGGCCGCGAAGCAGGAGATCAATGTCCACATTGTGCACGACGAGTCGTTGGCCAGGATACCGGACGAGCCCAAGTCGCAGCCTCAGCAGCAGCTCGATCACTTCCAGACTCGTGGCGAGCAGCATTTCCAGCAGCAGCAGCAGCAGCAAACGCAGGAGGCGCCGTCTCGACAGTTTCTCAAAACCTTCAATCCCAAAATATCAGACAGTGCCGACAGGCCCATACCAAAGGGCAGCTTCCACTACGAGGCCAACAGTCCCCCGCAGCGCATCATTGCCAAGCAGCCCAAGGAAATCGCCTACGACAGTCCCTTCATCAGACCTGCAGCTCAGTTGGGCCCTCAGCAGGAGTTTAGTCTGCAGCAACCGCAGAACCCTCAATCCAAACTCAATACGCAGGCAATCGCATCGTCTTCGTCCGACAACGCTGTCACGCCTGCTCCTGTCGAGTATTCCAATTACGGGGGGCCCTATGTTACGATACACTCCCATAGCCCGACACCAGCTGCTCCTGTTCCGGCTCCTGCTCAGCATGCAGAGCAGCAGCCACAGGTGCCGCTGCTGCCCAGCCCACATGAATATGTCTCGGAAGCAGCTGCCGAGCCCTCCCAGCGCCACTTGCAGCACGCCGCGCCCCCCAACTCCATAGCCCACTCACAGTCCCAGCCGGAAACGCAGCTCCTGGTTAAGCCCAATGGCTACACTTTCGTGGAAGTGCAGAAATCGGTCAACATCCACAACAAACTCATTACAGAGAAGGATGGCCGATTGGTGGAGATGCATGAGACCATTTATCAGCCGCCGCCGTATGACCAGAACTACTATGGCTCCCACTCTCTGGGCTACAGTCCCAAGGACTATGTCTCCTCGCCATCCGCGCCACCACCACCCCCACCGCCTCCTCCTGCTTCTACCAACTATGTCTCCCTAGCCGCGAATCCCATCAATGTGGAGCAGGTGGAGAGCGCGGACAGCTCACCCCAAGAGGGCGCCATCTCGCATGCCAGCATTAACATTGATGTGTCTCATCATTCCAGTGGCCACAGCCCGGATACACAGCATGGGGCAACCGTGGTGGAGAAGCATGTGCCACAGCCGTATGCGGTGCCCGTTGAGAAAATCGTCGAGCGGCCCGTGAAGCAAATCGTGGAGAAACACATCGCAGTGCCCTACGCCGTGCCCCAGCCAGTGCCGGTGCCCGTTCACGTCGAGCACTACGTGGACCGTCCCTATCCCGTTGAGACCATTGTGCAACAGCCGGTGCCCTATCCCGTGGAGACAATTGTCGAGAAGATCGTCGAGAAGAAGGTGCCCTACGAGGTGGAGCGCATCGTCGAGAAGCCCGTCGAGGTGGAGAAGATCGTGGAGAAGTACATAGACCGTCCCATGGCCGTACCCATTCACGTGCCCGTCGCCATTCACCTGCCCATGCCGCCCAACCACTCGCCCGGCTTCAACTTCGGCTCTCATCCCAACGCAGTGCATCCCTGGACGCACGCCTCGGTCGCCCACGTGCCGCCAAAGGTTCTACAGAACTACTACACGCGCATGCTGAAGAAGCTGCTGCCCCAGTTCCAGGTCCCCAAGGCAACCGCTCCAAAGGCGGCGCCGGCAAAGACCTCGGCCAAGGCGGTGCTGGTGAAGCCGCCGACCCGGCCAGTGCGCGGCGAGGCGCCCAAGGTGGCCACCTTCAGCTTGGAGGACATGCGCTACGATCTGCGCCCGCCGCCACCCCCGCAGGGCTCACCCTGGCTGCAGGGCGCCCGCTACATATACAACACCCTGCCCTCCGACCTATCGGCGGCAGCGGCCTCGGCGCCCGCGCACATGGTCAAGTCCTACATCGGACCCGTGCCCACCACCAGCACCACCAGCGAGAACAACGGCAGCGAGTTCGACGAGTTCCAGCGCTGGCGCAACGGCCACAGCCTGAAACGCAGCCCTGACTTCGGACGCAACCTGCACATGGAGTACGGCTTCAAGCCGCCCCTGGTGCCCTCCGTGGAGATCGACGACAAGGGCATGCCCCTGAAGCAGGCGGAGCCAGAGGCGCAGTAGCTCGACCTGCAGTTGAGCAGTGGAAATGAAAAGCGTGCCAAAATATACAGCTTATTAGTTGATAATGTCTATTTATGTAAACCGAAATATTATATATGTATGAAGAGCGCATTTAATAAAATTGATGTTGAACCAAGCCAGGAACTTGTTCGAATCTGAACTTAAGATGGCACGATTGATCATATAATAATCGATTATATTTGCTTACATTTTCGCTATAATTGTATCGGAAAAATCGAAGGCGAGCGAAGCTCTTCTTCGAAGAAACAGATTAGTTGCAGATTATTGTTGTGCATTTCAGACTTTTTTTATGTACATTTAAAATTTTTATTTTTGCTATACAATGAAAAACTAAAGTCATTTGTTGAATGATTCATAGAGTTTGTGTCATCTAATAATTGAAATTATTAGTCGCGTATCTTCAATTAGTCGCGATGCAGTAATCGATTCCTAAATTTGATTTGCCATCTCTAGTCTCAAGCGAACCCCACTTGAGCAGAACTGCCGACTCTGCTCAATCAGGCTGAGCAGAGCAGAGAGTCGGATGTCTGTCTTCATAAGCAGCTCAATCTGGAGAGTACAATTAGGCGCAATACTAATTAAATAAATAAATGACAATGACAGCCGCGCTGCAGGACTGTACCTCATGTGTGGCATGTGGCGTGTCTCTGGTGCGCTGGGCTCCAATTAAAACTAAGCCCGAAAGCGGATTCCTGCGGACCAGCAAATAGGGGGAACAAATTATTAATTTTCTTAAGTAGCATTTATGTAAATGAAAAATGCTACATGCGAGCACGAAGGGTTGCCGCTGGCCCGAGTGCCTTATCTGCGCAATGCGAGGCGTACAGGCTCCGCCGGAGCCAACTGCAAATTTAAAATGGCGGCACGTCTGCTGGCGGCAGGAGGCGGCAGAGGGCGACAGTGTGCAAAGATTTATATGACAGCTAATAAATTTACAACACATGTAGCTCAAGATATTAGAAATATTTTTGGTGACAGACGCCGGGACGTGGGCGTACACGTACGACGGGCTTTTGAATGTTATTGAAGCATGCTTTTAGGCGGCGCGACAAAATACAAAAAAAAAAAAAAAAACGCGCTAGAAGAAGCAGAAAAAACAGCCTCGCAAATATTTGCAGAGCGCGTGGCAGGGCACGTCGACCCACGACTGCAGTTGACATCTGACGGCAACAAACTGTCAATAGTCAAGCCGTAGCAGCAGTCGCAGCCGCAGCAGCAGCAGCAGCAGCAGCTAGAAGGAGCCGGCTCCGCCTGCCTGCCAGGCAGACAAACCGTTTAGCGCACGTGTTGGCGGAAACGGAAGCACTACAGCAACGCGCCAAGTGGCAAATGGCGAATGGCAAATGGCAAATGGCGAATGGGAAAACGCGCATGTGGAACGGGTATTTGGGGCTGGGGCTTGTAGCAGGGCGGCATTTTGAAAAGTTATGACAATGGACCCAAGTGCCTATGCCTGATTCATGTTGTTCATAAAGGCCATCCATAAAAAAAAGGATAAGATGGTTAAGTGCCACGCCTGTCTGCTGTGAGCGCTGACAATCGAAGCGAATAGACTTTCAGTTAACTAATGCATATGAATACGAGTATGTGAGTATGAGTATGTGAATATGAGTGTGAATATGGTGTGTGTGTATATTTTGATTACCATTTGATAAACACTTTCGATGCAAGAGCTGGGCTTGACTATATCAGTCCTTCTTCTTCATACAAGATATTAATTGAAGTCACATATGAAATATATATACATATATGTATATGTATTTAAATTTAGCAACTTCTTTGCAGCTCTAATAGAATTTCAGCCACAGCTTAAAACCCTGCTCAAGGCAGAGGCAAAAAGTAGCTAGAAATAATTTAAAATTTGGAATTTTGCAATTTGAAAATCTGGAAATTCATGCGAATGCAGCAAATTGAAAATTTCACTAATTCGATATATACATATGTAGGTGTGTGTGGGAGTGCGTGTCTGTGCATGTTCAATTGAGCTAGAGTGCACTCCTTTTGACACACATAAATTGGCAACGCCCACCGTCGCGTCGCCCCTTGACCTTTGCTCTGCCGCCCTCTAGCTGGCAGCAGCAGCTGCAGCAGGAGTGGCAGGAGGGGCAGCACGAATTGCATGCAAATGCAATTTTATTTAACTTGTGCCAAATACGCAGGCATAAATCAAAAATTTATCGCACCGCCACGCCCCACTTTGGAGGCAGAGATATATATGGTTATCAGAAATCAATTGCAGCCCACAATGCATTCAGCATTTTGATAGACTCCATGGGCGGCTGCATTGCATGCGGCTGCGTCGGGCGGGGCGTGGCACAGTGCAGCCAGCAAGAAAGATAAGCCAAGGAACAATTGAATAATTTATATGCAAATAAATAAAAGTATTTCGACAATTCATTCGGCATGCAAAAGCATGCAACACCAAAATGCTCCAAGTCGTTCGCTGGCCCCTTTGCTGTATATAAAAAAGCGTGTGAAATATATTTTTGCAGGCCATGCCACAAAAGGCGTAACACATACTACAACAACAACAACAACAGCAATAAATAGCTCCTGCTACAACTATTGGCGACGGCAGCGGCGACGCTTTCAACTTCTTTCTTCATTTTTCCTTTTTTCCTGTGGTGGCATTTTCCACCTCGCCGTACTCCCGCTCGGGACCATGCCCACTTTTCCATACTCGACGTTGTCGTCGGCCTTTTTGGGGCTGCTGCCGCTGCCGCTGCCGTTGCATGTCATTGTCAGGGGCTGCCAACTCTGCGTTTGATATACGATTTGGAAGTGTTGGCAAGCCGCCCAGTTGTCAGCCAAGCGGCTGGGCGGTCGGCGGGGGGATCGGGGGTGGTTGGGCGGCGCTGCTAGACAAATGCAGCTGAACCGAAAATTGCATTTCCGCTTTGAAAATTGCGCAAACTTCCGCACAGAAAGTAGGGGTAAGAAAAAAAAAGAGAGAGGCATCGAGCTAACCACCGAGTACATCGCACGAGCCGCCACGTCGCCAGACAATTGGCAAAAATTTTCTATAAAAGTGTGAAATAGGCCGGCCGTCTGCCAAAGAGGGCCTGACATGCCGTAAAGTGGCCCCAGTGAACCACAGAAAACTTGTCACACAAAACTGAACGCAAAAATGTCAAAAGCACACATACATACACAGCCGCCAAAAGAATGAAGTGCAGCGGTCGTGGGTGTGTGTGTGTGTGTGTGTGTGGAGAGAATGCGGCTGGTTTAGGAATTCGGACAGGTCTAACGAGACGAAAAAAAAAAACATGTGTCAAGTGCTATCTAAAGCGAATCTTATATGCCCTAGCTAAATAAATTGAAGAAAAGTCGAGAAAGAATTCTAGAAAATATTAAAAATAAATAAACATTTATTATATAATAATTCTAGAAATTTAAAGGAATGTATTATGAAAAAATTAGAGAAAATAAATAAACATATATAATCAGAAATTAAAAATAGATATAATAGACAAAGTACTGAAAACAATTCTCTAAACTTAGAAGATAGGTAAAAATAAAATAAAAATAAATCAAATAAATAATAATATTATTACGATATAAAAATATTTGTAAATTTGTGACTCTCGGAATTTGTTTAGCAATAATATCAAGGTTTGCTTTTTAAATAAAATGCAATTTCTTGATTCCTTGAAAATCAAAATATTGAATATAAAAACTCAAATAGGTCTATTATTAATTATTTTAGTAACTGCAATAGAGTTTGCAATACTACTTTTTTAATTTTACGCATATTTTCTTCTCTCTTTATATTATAAAAATCTGCATAATTGCTCTTAAATAAAAGAAAGTGTGCAGCTCTGTCAAATAAATTCAAATTCTTTGGGCAATGTCAAGTGTGAATATAAAAGACGTTATGTGGAGACTGTCACCTGACATGGGTTCGTGTCACGGCTAACTATTCGACTGGCTGACTGCTTAGTGCTAATGGGCGACAATTTTGCGGTGATTGTGCAGCAGTCAAATTGCTCTTATCTATGGTCAGTCAAGTGCAGGTGTGAAGCGTAGCAAAAACCACAAGCACATACACACATAGAGGGACAGACACGTACATGCGTTTCATTTGCTAGCAGCAGCTCAAAAAGTTTCGGACATTTAACAAGCGGCGACAACAAACGAGCAAACAAACATGAAAGCGCGCACAGTCACACACAAACAGGTGTAAGGACAAACACGTGTGTGTGTGTCCGTTTGTTTGTGTAGGTATGCCACAGATTCCATTCAATCAGCGCCGCAGCAGCAATAACTGCAAAAAAAGAATGTTGAGCAAGAAGTTTGCCACGTGCTAACAATGTAAAGTGTCATAACTTTGCCCTGTTAGAGGGAGCTGGGTGATTCACAACGTGTGCGAGTGAACAGTATGGCAGTAGTACAATACTCAAAGCTTATAACTTCAAAAGGCATGGGAGTGAGCGGTGCGACAGGAATCACGATGTTGCTCCACTAACAGCGCTGTTAAGTGTCGCTGTTAAAGCTGTCAATTTTAAGGCAGGCCTAAAAGTATACTGTAATATATTAACGAAATTCGAAACCAATTCAAAAATATATTTATTAGGTTTTAATTTAAATTAACGACTAATACTTAAATTTGCTCAGCAACTGAATCGACAATAAGAATTTACAATCAATAGCCCGCATTGGAATATCATCGAGCAGAAAACTAATCAAAGAACTCAACTGCAAACCGTATTTGAAAAAAATGATGGGGAAAAAATGCAAAAAATCAGCAAATAATATTGGCAAACCAATGAGAAATTTCAGCAGCAGCAACCAATTGGATTGTATTTTCAGCCACAACAAAAATGAGAATATTACTGCAGGAGCACAAAAACGTTATGATGAATACTTCACATAGAAAGGCAACTGGCAACTGACAATGAAGGCAGCTGATGGAGTAAGGGAGATAGAGAGAGGGAGAGAAGGATGCGGGCCGCATGCTGAACGATGAAGGATGAAGGCAAGGACAGGCAACTTGTGCTGCAGGCACGCATAGATGATTTTGATAATAATAATAACAACTATAATGAAAAG